CCCATGCCTCTCTAGTTTAGAGAGAAGAATACTTTTTCACATTGTCATAGTATTTCACTGAATCTTTTTATCGAAGTGTAGATAAGTAGGTGATGAACAACAGCTGCTGATAGCTGTGGGCTTAAGGTGTGAGAAGTGTGACATCAGAATTCAGAACAACCTCTGCTATATAACAGACGTTTAACTACCGTTTTTAAGCTTCTGCAGTTTACACCTTCCATGTCCAGATTTTTTTCTCTTTCAGACAGTAGCTAATCAAACCCATCTGTGTGCTGGATTTAGTGTCTTGGTGCCTATCTGCTATACTGAGTAGAACTGACGGTGCAGACAGCTCATGTTAGTAGTAGGCTGAAGCGCACCTACCTGGCGTGCCGAGCGGAGCAAGGACGTACTCGCTTACTGTCTGCGTTCATTATCATTGTCTCAGATGGCTGAGTACTGTGAGGCATCTTTAAAAATAGAAAGGTTCTACAGGCAGTTGTTTTTTTTGTCCAGCTTTCACTGGTGGCTCACTCAGACTGAGCCTGCTGAGCTGGTGTAACAGAAGAGTGCTAAACGGGGTCCTGATATGCCTCCTTTCATCGAGGCTGAGCCCCTTCAACCAGATCTGCTCCAGAAGGGGGAGAGAAAATGCTCCTAGCCTTCTACTCACATCTGAAGATCGGTTTGGCAGGTATCGTATCGCAAACTTCCTTCCCTCTTACTGTATCTGCGTTGTGACGGAGCAGTCCCTGGGGAAGCATTCAGTTACATCAGTGTGTGGCAGCGCTCCATCTCACCACAGCAGATGTCTGCATGTGCACTAACGATGAGAGAGGATGATCTCCAGCTCTGAAGTACGAGGCCACACAGGGGACAGAAGCGAGGCAAAAACAAACGGCCAGAGATGAAGACTTGTGCAAGAGGGAGCACGGTGGTACCTGTAGACAGCTGCTGTTGTCAGAGGTGAGCTGATTTCTCCTGAATAAGCAACTTGTTTTTCAATACACTGAACCTGAAACACATTTGGGTAAGGTCTTCCCTTAGAAGAGTCTATTTTAGGCCAAGTGAATGATTCTGTATTTTCTTCCCGTCTATTCAAAACAGACTGGCCTGAACCACACTGTTTTGCAAATGAGAACACAAGTGTTGACGAACAAAAGCATTTACAAGTAAACATAGAATTAGTGCTCACTACTAATGTGGAAGCAGCTGTCTTAAAGAATGGTGTTAGGAGACCTGAGAGCTACTGTGCCTTCTTCTATTGGCACCCAGCTGCAGAAGCACAGAAATGGGGGAGAGAGGTCTCATCTCTGCTCAGAAAACTGATCCAGGCTGGTCAACAACCCATCTGCCCTAATGATTTTCTGTCATGGTGTATCAGGTGGCTTTGGGCACTAAGATTCAAATGTGCCCAGCAGGAGTGTTGACTTCCTTCTGTGAAACAAACTACGCGGTAGTCTTGAGTCCAAAGCCCTGTGGGATGGAGCAAGGCTCTGCTGGAGTGACTTATTTAACAGCTTCCATTTAAATTAATAGTGAAACAATACTAATCCATGCAAGTGTTATTGGTGGATTATATTTCCCTGTGCTTGCAGGGGCAGGGAAGGATATCAGAAGTGGTTGGAGAACAAAACCATACTGAAATCAGTCATCTGGATACAGTTTAAGAGTGTTCGAAGCTCAACTGCACACACTAGGGACTGTTGCTGGCAAAACCATACAGCACTTCAAATTCAATTTTCTTTGAGCAGTTTGCCTTCAATCTGACCTTTGTAACAGATGCAGTACAGAAGTTACAAGTTCTGAATGGACACTTCTCTTCGTTGTCACCAAGCAAGATCTCAGTTATTATTAAAAAAATTAAACACAGACAATTTTTAATTGAATTTTTTGAATTTTGAATCAATCAATTTTTTATTCTTTAATAAGAGATATTTACAATACCCTGCAAAAGGAGTGCAAAAGCCACCGTGTCTTGAGCCTATCCAGGGCTATGACCTATGGTTAAGAGAACAAATTCAGTGCAGAGGTAGCTTGGGCTATAATCACTCCTACCCAACCCCTCCTCCTGGTCTGGGCTACAGGTACCCATGTGTTTCAGTGGCTCCTCACTCCCAGGAGCCTGGCACAGGGGAGCTGAGCTTCCTCACAGCCAGGAAACTGCTTAATAGCCCAGGCTGGAAGAGACAGGCAGCCACCACTAGCCAGCTGGCTAGTTTAAAGGTAGTGTAGATCATGCTGATTAACTGATTTAACTCATGCAAATTAGGTCTTGCTAGGCTGTTGTCCATTCTTTTTGTAAGGAACCTCACACCTACACCAACACAAGTTTTACTGCTGCTGTGAAAAAAACCCCACTTTTCATAACAATTAAACTGTTATGAGTTATGTTACTAGTTATAAGGTCTATTTTCAATTTCAAAGCAAGAGTCAGGAATACTACAGAACAGATTTTAGAAGTCTCTGCTAAGGGGAGGAAACCAAATAATCTTCATGCTACTTTCTTAGCCTAGCTGAACAAAAAAATCCAAACAACAAACCACCCAAAATCAGCAGGTCCCCACAGCAGTACCTCATTGAGATATACTGCATTTTTCTCTCTCACATCTGGTCAAGAACAAGATCTAATTACACCGGTTACAGTAAACTTGGTAAGGCCACATGTGCTAAGCTATAAGGAACTACCCTGCTGGTTTTTAGGGGAGTTATTCTCCTTTCTTTCTCCAAAGCTGCTCTTTCTCTACTTTCCCAACAAATTGCAGAATATCTTCAGCAAGAAGTTCAGGTTCCTCCAAAGCTGCGAAGTGGCCACCTTGAGGCATGAAGTGGAAGGAAACTATGTTGGTGTATTTCTTCTGGGCACAAGCCTGGGGTGTGTGCATGATTTCATTAGGGAAGGAGGCAATGCCAGTAGGTACTTGTACTGTGAGCCTGAGAGAGGAGAGAGAATAATTGTCATCTTTCAAACACCTAACTCTGCAAGAAATGGAAAGTCCCAAGGAAATGTTTCTCTTAAACAGTTGGGCACACTGGTTTTAGGCAATTAAAATTTGACTTCCAGATCCTAAATTTGAACATTGAACAACATTCCTATTCCTGAAAAAAAAAAAAACAAAAAAACCCACACAAACGAATTTTTGCATACATTGATATTAAGACAGTTTTACAAGGGATCCAGGGCATAAGAGTTAGAAGCACAGAAACTGAGAAGAGAGCCCTAGGAGGTGGTGGGTATCAAGCTTCCTCATGCTGCATTCAGGGCTCAAGAGTCGTATATTGAGGGGAAAGCAGACAATGTGACAAGGGCTGGAGAGAGATTTACAGTCTGTGACGATTACACCTAGAACATGTTGAGCTTGTCAGGACGACTGGAGGGTAGGCAGGGGAAGGATTATCTTGAACTGCTGCAAGGAGGAGAGGGGAGGAATAATAGAGAGGAAGTCTAGACTAGTGCAGAGGAAGCATTTCTGAATGTGAGACTACCCTGTAAAGTAGCTCTTGCTTTTAACTGGCACAAATACACTCTACAGAATGTTTTGCACATTGGCAAGTGCAGGGAAGCAACTGGATCTGAGAAGAAGAGTACCTTAGAAAGTGGAATGATATGCAGTTGTTATAACCAGAGCAACATTTCCTAGGTTTAAATATCCCATACACATAAGCTGCATTGTCAGAAGTGACAGACTTTAAAATTTAGATACAAAATTTGACAGTCTGAAACCAAGGTTCCTGATTTTACATAGGTCTTTAGGACTCTTTCCTCTAGGCACATAGAAGCTCATCTCATGTAGGCAGAACTGGAGCAGGATACTGCCCACAGTGTAGCCACAACAGCTTCAAGAACTGAGTCAGCTTCCTGAGAGCATCATTTCACAGCTAAATAAATACCATAGCAGTGAGCTGTGGTTGTAAATACCTCAGGGCAGTTTTAAGCCTTCAGTAATACTCAAGCTGACACAAGTATATGCAACCGAGCTGCTGTCTTAAGTATCCGTGCAGCAGGAACATCAGTCTTAATGACTTTCAAATTATGCAGTTTGTCAGTGTACTGAAATTGCCTCCAAAGGTAGGACTTAAGTCTTTTGCAGAAATAGACAAACTGTGTCCACAGAAAAGCACCAGAAGGACAAGCCAAACGAGCTATAAACAAAACTGACTGTATGACTCAGTCACAGGCTAATTGAGTAACTAAAGTAAAATCTGGAAGTATTTGCACGTGCTTTTCCCTAGTTGGATACACCATGAATGGGAGGCCCTCAAGTAGTGCCTCCAGTCAGACCTCCTTACTGATGGTTCAGGATTCTTACCCAATTACTGTGTTTCCCAGGCACACCACAGTACATCAACTAACACACCCGTCCTGCAGAGGAACATCCTGATACAGCATTACTTTTCCTCAACAGTCAGAAATTTGCAGCAGCTATAAGACATAAGCAACCTGTCTGCAACCATAAAATTAATGTCAGGGCAAAACATTTAAAGAAAAAAAGAACATTTACCTTTCGTGTTTCTGTGTGCCTATTCCTTTCTGCAGATTTTCTTTGTAGAAACGCATTGAGGAGACCATACAGCCTGACACCCAGTAGATCATAATATTGGTGAGCAGATCATCCAGGTTAAACTTCCTGAATAGGTACGCCCAGAGATTGCTTAGTTAGAACTGAATACCGTTTTGCATTACTTTAGCAGGGACTTGACTTTGGTTTGGTTGTAAGAAAAAAAAAGTGGCAGGAAAAAAAATAGTTAACTTGGTTAAGAAAAAGAGCTGAGAGGTGGAGTGTGTTATTCCCCTTCTGCCAGTGACCAATTAAGCATGTTAAAGGCTTTCAGACACAAACTGGGAAGTAACATTTTAACTTCTACACAGAAGGCAGACTGTCCAACAAGCACCTTATGCTCCCGCATAGCTGTAAATACTGTCCATAGACTGGGAGCACAGGAGCAGAAGAGCACATGGAACACTGTGCCATTTATTATTCATAATTTGAAATGTTACCACGAGCCTTCGACCGAGCCATCACACCAACACATGCTGTAAACCGTGCATGTGTCATATCAAATTATTAGTTGTACGCAGTGCAAACGTTATATTCAAACCCATTGTCACTGAACCTTTTCATAACGTGCTCCTTCACTCTGCCCCACCAGGTACCTCAGCAGTTTTCAAAGGGGACTTCATCCCAGATTTCTGCTGCACACTAAGAATGATCCTTTAATAGCAAACGGTAGGTAGATGAAGCAATACTGACCAATTTAAAGCAAATTCAGAGAGTTAAGTGTTAGTATTAAAATTAATCATGAGTTCTGTTTCCCAGCATCTTAATGCAGGTTAAACTTTTGTTTTTCTGTCCTAATGAGATTCCTCCACCTAACTCAGTTTTTAATCCTCAGAAGCTGCAGGGCGTATCTCTTTTCTAGGAGATCAAAGCGGGAAGGGAATACATCAGCTTTCATGGCCTACTTGCTGCTTTGTGGTCCACCCTTTGTGGTCGCTACCGGCTCCCTGCGAGGTGTGAGGCAATCAGTTCAGACAAACTGCTTTAGGTACGACTCCAGGCTTAGTCACCTCATCCAAAACGGCATCAGAGGAAACACTTACCTGTCTAGTCCTCCATCCTCTAAGTTACGGAATTCTGGATCAGTCCATGTAGAAAACTTCTCCAAGATGTACGCGGCCAGTCCTACAGGAGAGTCATTCAGACCACAGCCTGAAAAGGAGGAGGAAACTAACTAAAATTGCGACATCCAACTGCTGAACTCAGACTGCTACAGAAGCGGCCCGTTGTATTACAGGGTAGATAACTTTACAAAGCTGTTCCAGCAGCCAGGTTCTTAAATAAATAAATAAAATAGTAGAACAAGTTGGAGCCATTTATTGTTGAATCATAAACCGATAGTATCTACAAACCAACAAGCTCTGCATTAGCTCACACTATGTTTTTCGAACTGATGTAACAGTATTGGATTTCTGCTGGCTTTTTTTCCCTTGTAAGCTAAGAAGATTAAGCTCTGTGTGCCAAGTAGAGTTTGCTTCCATTAATCTGAAAGCTGTCATGTATTAAACAGCATTACAGGGCCACACCCCACATGCCTACACATGACCAGGAGAATTTGCACTATTATCTACCAGCAAAAACATTTTAGGGATTATTAGAAAGTCATTAAGGAAGAGCAAGGCTTTACTAAAAGGTCCATCTTCTGAATTAGCAATAGCCAACTGCCTTCATGTAGAACAAGGCTTAATATGCTTTTTATAATTTGTTTTGCTTGGACAGAAAAAAACACACCTGCACCTGGAGCTTTGCCCTAGTGCTGTGAAATACAGGGACCATAAACTGTCCCAGCTGCTCAGAAAAACCTTAGAAAAAGGTTCCTGAGGAACAGCAATATATTTGAAGTACCACCCATGCAACCCAACCTTCCTGAAATATGCTTAACACTACGGCTAGCACAATTTCATCAGTAATTGCTATTTAAACATGAGAGTTGAGTTTCAGTTACCGAACAACTAACACTGATAACCGAAATAGCAAGTGTTTGAAAGAGTTCTATTGAGCGTCCTTTCCAGATCTGTAGACCTAGCCAAGCAGTAGCCTGTTCTCCTAGGCTTACTGTGAACAAAGAAGAGTACATCAGTTTACATATAGGAAAAATTGACATCCATCGTAGCAGTACTTTGAATACAGGCACTGCCTGTTTCAGTCAGTTGAAAATGAACCCACACTCCATGCAGTTTTCCCAAAGAGTTAGTATAAAATCAAATCCACGCAAGCCAGTTTGGTCAAGAGCCAGCTCTGAAGCAATCAAGAGTATAGTATTAGCAAACATAGTATATATCAAGAGCCAGGGACAACTTCTTCGCTTAGGACAGCTTGCAAGGTAGCCCTGTACCTCCACAAGTCTCAGGAAGACTGTGGTAGCCTCCATGGCTGTGCTTCTTCCAGCTTACACTGCCTTCTTCAGAGTGTTTTTCTCCCTGCAGGAACCTGCCACCTGCCATGCTCCTCTATTTTTTGACCTCAGAATCACAGGAATGATCCTGCTCCAGCTTCCAAAAACGTGAACTTGCTGCTAGTTCCCAGTCTGCGCAGTCCGCTCTGACAGACCACACGTTAATGGTAGGAATGAGAATCCGCCAGAAAACCACAGAAGAAGGAGCATGACTGGGCATCTTTCAGCTACCAGATTCCCCATCTTTTCTTAAAGCACTAAAGGAATTAGAGAGCAGTAGTTTTTAGAAACCAAAACTCAAAGGAAACAAATATTTTAAATCCATAAAATGATCATTTTGCCTACGCATTTAAGAATATCCCTGCTTCTGTAGGTAAGCTTACAGAAAACCATTAAGAAATAGTTTCCTTAGCTATGTTTTTAATAAAATCATAATCTACGAGTGAATTGCTGCTGCACTGAACTAAAATATATTCAGTATTTTTGTCCAATTCAGTTGCAAAAGACGCTTTTAAAATAGAAACACTTGGTACTCAGATACTTAAAGCAGTTAAGCAGTCTGAGTGACTAGCTCATCTAGAAAGCACATTCCTAGGTACACCTTTTTTCCTTCAAAGTCTGCAAGTGATGCAGAACGAGTGAGAACTAAATTTGATTTTACTTTTCAGGTATTACTCATCCCTATAAATAAACTACATTGCGTGCTGAGACAGCTAAAGCTTCTTGTAGTTTACATCATTTGAATGTGATCCATATTCTGTGAAGAAACCATCTTTTGCTTTCAGCATAGCTGCATTTGAAATAGAATTACAATACCCAGTGACAGCAGAAGTGGAAAAGTATTAAATAAACTATTTTATTTATGAAAACTGAAACTGAGGTCAGTGGCTTTTAGAGTGTGCTCAGTTTTGACGTGCATATATACCGCTTCTGCACGCAAAAGGGAGCGTAATGCTACATACCCATCTGTAACCTTTTCTGACTCTCCTTTAAAAGGAGCCCACCTTTTAAAACCTCTAACCTTCCTACTTGGATTTCCCTGAAAAAAACACACTGATTTTATGCATATTTTAAGCAGTATGTTTTGTTTCTATGAAAGTACAACTAAAATGAACAGACTAAGCATTCTGAGCTCAAAAGGTTGGTTTGTTTGTTTTACCAACAGTATCAGGCTTTGTAGCCTGTATGTGAGCGTAGCCAGACTCCAACAACATCTTGTAGAGCCCTTTTTTCAGGAAGGGAAACATCCGCCTAACATCTTCATCCTGGAACCCGAAGAGCCCTGGAAGATACTGGCCCAGCAGAATGGAGAGCAGGTGAGTGAATCCCATCTTCATAACTAAGGCTAGATTTAAATGGAGACCTTTCACATGGCTAAAAACAAAAACAGAGAAAGCCCCCAAAAATTAGCAAATGTGATTCAAAGTTGTTATATTTAAAACGTTACTAACAAAAATGGATACAGTTAAATTCCAGCCTGCTAATTACATCATGACCTTAGCTGTACTTTGTAGTGTGGCTTTTCACACAAAAATGACAAATCAAAGGGGCAACTGTCTGTAATCAGCACACGCTCCTGGGCACTAAGCCACAAATCCTCCTTTTGTTACAAGTGCTTACCCCACTCTAGACCCTACTGGGGCCATTACAAAACTACTGCACAACTGTTTGAAAGAACACGTATATAGTTGTCCTGTTTTTACTGGGATAGAATCAATTTTTTGTTCAGAGAAGCTACGTTTTTAAAAAGACTGCAGCACCTGACTCAGTGAGAACAAAGTTGATAAAACACTTTGGTTCAGTTTGTAGCCAGCTGTGGCATGTAGGTATCTGTAGTGCTCAAGGACTTTCCCAGTTGTTTTTTGCCAACGACCCAGATGTCCAAGAATCTAGAGGGAGTGTGGCCAGGGTGACTGACACCTCAAGTGGCAAATGGGTATTCCATACCATGTAACATCATGCTCTCTATAAATTGGAAAGTTTGCTGGGGACAAGCCCTCTTGTTTCTCTCTCTCTCTCTGGTCACCATCCCTGCAGGATCTTGCCTGTCATTCTGCCCCTGAGGCCTACTCTTTCTCTTCTGGGATTGTGGTTTCAGGACTTCTCTGCTCTGGGATCGCTGGCCAGGAATGAGCTGGACATTGGTCAAGGGGTGGTGAGCAGCTGCACTGTGCCTCACTTGTGTGTATATACTACTATTATTATTTTAATTTTCATTTTTATTTAATTATTAAATAGTTCTTATCTCAACCCGCAGGTCTTCTTTCCTTTTCCCTGATTCCCCTTCTCGAGTGGGGAGGAGTCATTGGGTAACAGAACAGCTGACTATTGTTTAGCCACGGGTACAGGCTATACATAGACAATAGTATAAGCTAAAGTATATAATTTTGGATCACTGATTAACACTGAGCACTGAAGACAAAGTACACAGTGCTCATATAAGGACTTGGACAAAACTCTCAAGTGCACAAGAAATAACTATTCAAAGAATAAAACAGCTTTGCATGCCAATCATGCAGCACGGTTCCAAAGGGGTACTCACTTGGGAGCTATCTGGGCCAGATTGGTGCAGATGAGCCAGCCGCAGTCACCACCTTGTGCGTAGAACTCATTGAATCCCAGTCTGAGCATCAATTCATAAAAAACAGAAGCAGCACTTACAGAATCAAAGCCTGTATTAAAAAAAAAAAGAAGGAAGAGAGAACACTGTTGCATTAATTCCAGCTACACTTCTGCGCAGCATTTATTCTCCCCATAAAGACAACGTTCAATTTCCTAAAAAGCTACAAGTCCATTTTTCCTTGCCTGACAGACTATATGGAAACACTTGTCACATCATCCAGGGAAGGTCTAGAGAGCAAGCAGAAACCACAAGGAGAAAAATCCAGCCTTCGTTGCAGACTAGTTTTCTCCTAACCCCACCAGTTGCCCACGTGCTTTCCCAACTGAGGAGCTGCCAGACTCCTTTACCGTTTATGTAGTCATACTCTAGCTGAGCCCGGTCAGAAGCACTGAGCGTTACCCAGGCAGTGCTTCCATTTTGTCTGCTGTGACCACAGTCTCACCTTAATGAGAGTCAGAAACTTCAAATTTCTGCTAGTAATGCACTTCTCCACTTCACTAAATGCTGACCACGTAAATCATAACCAGGGAAGCAGAGAAAAGCACAACCAACCTCCCCCACATCGCTCACCTGCGCACATAATTAAACACTAAACTCAGTATCGCTTTAAATACTACCTCGCTCCAATTTGTTGCAACTTGTGTTTGTGTAATTCAGAGCACAAGCTGAACAAGCAGGTATTTGGCTGTGATCTACCATGTCGATACATGATTTGTTTCAACTGCTGTTTCTCACCTACCTGTACAATAACGCTGTTGAATATGGATTCAAAACACCCAAAAGGAACAGTAACAAATTAAATTTACTCTTTCTGCTCACCCACCTGCAATTAATTGACTCAATTACAATACATGAGTTGTGACTTCATAACTTTTTATAGTCCTTTATAAATTATCTGTACATTGCTCCTGAAGCTAATTAATAGTGTCATCTGAAGTCACACTCTTATCTCCCTCTCCCTACATGACACACAGATCTTTGTTTCTACACTGGGAAAACAGGAAGAGCCAGGAGTTACTCCTCTGCTAACAGGGGCTTTCTCACTGTGAGACGAGGCTTGCGTTAGTTAAGTTTCTTCTCATACATCATACCTTTTTTGTGAGGTGCTTCTGAGAAACCATAACCAGGGATAGATGGGCAAATGACTTCAAAAACATGTTCGTCACTGAGGCCGTGGCTGGCAGGATCCGTCAGGAGAGGGATGATTTTGTAAAACTCGTAAAATGAGCCAGGCCAACCATGAACCATTAATAATGGCTTTGCAGACTGTCCTTCAGGCAAACGAGGCGGCTTTACGTGAACAAAATGGATATCAATGCCTGTAAAAATAAAATAATTAATTAACATGCCCAAATTTACCATGACACTGAAACTAATCACAGAACAGATTATGAATAAATCTTTTCTGATGTCTTTTTTTGATGAGCATGCAAACACACTGCACTTCTCTGGATCTGTTTATCCAGGAACCTTAAAGTACTTTATAAGGGGCAATTAAGCAGCACAGCAGCCAAATGAGGTTGGTGTATTTCTGTTTTAAAATAAATTTGCAAATTAAGACATAGAAGTGAAGCAATCTACTAACGGTAACACACTGACTCACGCAGCTTAAAGGCAGAAGAGATAATTACATCATTTAGTCCAAGTACCCTTAAATTTTACCCAAATATCCCTATATGGCACTAGATAGGCTTCAGCCAACCCAGATTTTTCTTCCTGAAAGGGATAAAATTGGAACTTCAAGGCATCAAGAGACAGAGAATCCATCATAACCAGCAGCTGTTCTTTTAGGGGCATTAATAATTTTCCTTGTTTCGTGCATGCATTGCTTTCCATTTGAACATATCTGGCTTCTGTCTCCAGCATTGATCCTAAGGTTATAGCAAAAGGAATTTTAAAAGCCTTCAGTAAGTATTCTCTATCTGTGGAGGCCTCCTGTAATCAAGTCACACAACTGCTGATAAATCTTCATGCTGAATCAAGGATTTGAAAAAATGCCTTGCTAAAAGAGTTAAAGTGTTCAATTTTGTAGTTCTTTTCTACTTTTTGTCCAAAGCTTTCAGCATCTCTGAGTAAACCAAAACAGGAAACTATGTTCTAGCACCAGTCTCCTCATTGTTAAGTAAAAAGGTAAAAATTGCAGTCCTATTTCCATTGTGATCCTTACAAAACGTAAGCCATAGGCTTGACACAGCTTTGTACTGGTTGCTTCAGGTGAACTGCTCTTCCTTGAAGCCATTGAGGGCTTTGCTTTCCAGGAAACAATAATTTGCTCTTAGCAGAGCCTGAATGCCTCATTTCTTGATGCATTTAAGCACATTTTACTCACATCAACTCCAGCTCACCAGCAATCCTGCCTTGTTTCACTGACTGAGGCTTCCCCATCCTTGACAATTCTGTGGATTTCTGAAAAACTTTCAAGTGATGACAGAAGCTAGGAATCTGCTGTACAGCATGTTTGATCTTGTCTTTTCATGGCTCATCTCTATAATAATTCCTAAAGCTGAAATTTCTCTTCCTAGTGCTATACACAGTGCATTGCCTTAGCTTCTTTTCCCTTTCTTACCTCAGATGATACATCTTTTTTTCTTTTTTAAAGGGAAGACTTTTTGCTTTTATCTTTTTCAGCACTAACCATGTTTTATATACTTAAATAAAATCTTTATATTCTAACCACTATGTAACAACTATTTATTGTCCAAATCTATTTTAAATATTATGGTGAATTGCCCCATTTGAAATAATGTACAATTATGGGTGCAAATAAAAACATCAATAGCATAATCTCAAGCTTGAATTTTGCCATCATGCAAGACAATTGCCTGCTGTGCTCTAAATCTACAGCTGTACCCCCAAACGACCCAGGCACAACCCTAATTCAAGCATTTAAAACACCCAGTTTGACCAAGCTCCAGCACACCATGGCTGAATGGCCTCTTTCAAAAGGTGTCTGTGCTTTGAATGAAAAGACAAATCATTAATTCGCACCTGGCAGCGCACCGACCCCAAGGGAAAGGCATCCTGCGTTTCTAGACCTATGAATGCTTGAAACGGTGCAGCAGAGCGCATCTGCCCTGCCAAGAAGGGATGTGAGCAGCCAGCACACCCAGCTGAGGAGGACTGATGGCATCAGCATGACAGCAGCAGCCAAGGAACTACATGGAGCAAGAGGAGGCACCTGTGGGTATTTTTGCATGACTGCATGCTAGTCAGGCAACACGTGTACATCTTAAGATCCAGTTCTGTTTCCAAATGCCTGTGCATGGCTCCTGTTAACACCAGGTGACAACTCATCCATGCACAAGGGAATTCCATTTGTCATTCCTTGTCCTAAAGGCTTCAGTTACTATGTGAGAGTTTCTTGCTGCCTCAGCAGCAGTGCCAATGATCCACGCCATAGCAGCCGGAGAAGGAAGGCCCAAGCAACACAACCAGTGTTCTTACCACTGAGATTCCTTGTAGACAAGATTATGTATTACTGTTTGTTTATTTTTTTAAGGGAAAAAGCCACACACCTTGAATCTTAGTTTTGAATTGTGGGTACTTGTTGAGGACTTCAACTTGTTTCTTCCAATTGAACTGGTTTCTCCAGTAGGAGACAACCTTCCTGAGATACACCGAGTTGGTCCCATAATGAAAGCAACTGTTCTCCAGTGGCTCAGTGAATCGAGCCCGGTCAAGTCTCCTAAATAAGTCCTATAGGAAAAAAAGAAAGAAGAGACATAACAAGCACTTATGTCTGCCATCTTGTGCTCTACTGTGCATGTTTTCTAGTTATTCCCAAGTGAAACAAGAAAACAATGAAAAATCATATCTCTAATGACACCTGTGCATTTTGCTGATGCTCCATCAGCTGTTCCAATTCTTTTTCTCCTCCAGATGGCCTCCTTTCTCTTCCATTTACAGCTGTTCATAACACTCTCTTTGTCTCTGTTTTGCAGGGCTGGCTAACCTGTTTGCCAGGCTGCTAACCACAGAGGACGAGACACTCTTCTGACAGCACTGTGGCTTCACAGTAGCCCTCCCATGGTACTTTGTTCCCCAGGTTACCTGCAAGCCCAACCTCACAATCAATGCCCGGATCTGGCCCAAACCTTCTACTCTCCTTCCCAAACCAAGATGTTTTTACTGGGAAACACTCTGAGAAATTTTGCATAGCCACAAAGTCAGTGAAACTAGACTGGAATCAAAGTTTCCCAGTCTAGAGTAACTACGGAAGTGACCTTCCCATTGCACTTCAGGGTTACAGGGCATGCTGACGATACTGCAAACATCAGTCCAAAAATCACTCAGCAGGGAAGGACAGCCAAGAGCCCCTTCCTACTGCAAACAGAACCACAGAACAGTTGAAGGCAGAAGGAAATCTAATCCTACTCAAACCTCTCTGGGGTTTAAACCTGAACAGCATTTTCCAATGTAGCGATAGAGACAGCCGTCACTCTGACTAAGATGAGTTAGGTGCCTGCACTGGCTCATGCCTCACACTGAACAGGCAGCCTCAGTCTAGGCAAGATGGTAGCATGCAAGATCACTCTTTCTGGCGTTTAACACGTGTACAGAAAGCATGGATTTTTAAATGAAGTTTTTAACATGTCTTTACATGCATGCTTTTTCTCCATGCTCAACACCTTTTAAAAAATGTTTTAGTAATGTATGCTAGCATAACTTCTAGTTTATGTAAAAATTTATTTAGAAACAGAGTATTCTCCTGATGGATTATGTTGCAATAGCTGTCATAATACAGAATTGCATGTTTCAAAAACATCTGCAAGTTAGAAATTAGCTAGCTTTGTGTCTGCAGTGCAAGGGGAAAACATTTTGGACATCAATGTCCATTGATATTACTAAGGAGGGCAAATCAGGTATTAAAAAACCCAGGCCTTCCTGAGAAAATAGAAATCCATTATAAATGAATAATACGAGCAGTCCCGTGAGTACTGTTTGAAACACTGCTCCACAAAGATCTATGAAATTGTGCTATCCCTCATATAAACACACACAATCAAAATCTTGCTATCCAAGAAATTCTGCAATGTATGTGTTTACTGTAATTACTGCTGTGGTATTAGCATTGACCAAAGTAGATCATTAATTACAGAAGAATCAGCATCCAACACAGCTGCAAATATAAAGCAGTCAAGAAAATGAGATATTCATAATTGATTTTGAAAGAAAGGGGGAAAAAAAAAGACATTGTGCTTATTCTGGCCTACACAATCAAACTGAGGAAGGTGCACAAACAAGAACACAGAGTCGAGTAATCCATAATAGGATCTTTATGTTCATTAGGCTTTACAGAGTAGGCTTATTTACTAGCAACCTTGCAACAGCCAGCTGAGAACAAAATTGTGCAGCAGGATGTGAAATCTGCCTATCCACACCTATCTTCTGAAGCACTGAAAAATCCCTCCAAGTCCTAGACATCATTGCTTATTCTCATAAATGTAACTATTGGTTCAATTTAAAAATTACTTTCAAATACGTTCTGCATTTATTTGGCCATTTCATACTTCTCTCTCCCCAGTACAGAGATTTGCTTACGCTCAGCTCTTCTTCTGTAGTTTCCACCTTAAAGGGCCGAACAGTTGTATCTTCTTCAGTGTCAGGCTTTTGTCCCTTGCCCCACCATCCCTCTTGGAAGGGTAATGTCTCTTCTTTCTTCTTGGAAGGGAAGAAGAAGAAGATGATGATGACGACTGTCCCCAGAACCAGGAATACTTCAAGCAGCATAATGCCTGCAAGAGAAGAACAGAACCCTGGTAAGCCCAATCAGACAGTTCAGAGACATGTGACCTACTTTATAAAAAACATAGGGGTTTACTCACTTCTTAAGATAGGATTCAATCTACACAATGTTCTGTCACTCAGAGGACATCAAAACTTCTGTAAAATTTCAGAAATAGGATGTTTTAAGCTATGCAACTCAAACAGGGAGAAATTAAGTGCTTTACATAAAAGACATTTAGTAAAAACAGAATTCAAAGCAAGTCAAGAGATCACATGGTCTGGTGATTAAATAGTCCTCTGATTAAACGTGCCACATTGGCATCCTCAGTGGCCGCTGACTGCTGCTAAACTTCAACAGCCAAGGAGGTGACTGCAGATATAATCCAAGTGTAATGCTTTCTCCTCCTCTGAAGCTCTAGATTTCCCACAAATTCCAAAGCTGAGCATCTCTTCAGTAAGGCTCATGTAACTATTATAGATTTGGAGGGAGAAAAAACTAAGACATATATACAGAATAAAAAGTGAAGAGCATGAGGGCAGCCATGTTATACCTCCCAGTCAGCCTGGGAGAGTGGGGCAGGGATATATTTGCATAACCCTTCAACAGCAGTGCAAAGGGTAGAAGGACTTTCTCTTTCTTTCTCCCTCTGAAGTGTTCTAAAGAGGAAACAAAAGACCACAAGCATGCTCTCCTGGCTCTAAAACACCCTTTCCCAAGTGATAAAATTCTGTCAAAGAGAAGAACAACCTGATTTCACAGCACGTCTGCATAACCTAACTTGCAGGGCTGTTGTGCTTTAGTTCAATAAAACACCTTAACAAAAAAAAAAAAATTAAAAATCTATTTTGAATATATTTGAACTGTTTCATGCTGCAAATAGAAAAAATAGTTACTCGGACTCTCTGATGTTTTCAAGCATCCCCTTAAGTATGAGAAATGTTTGTAAGGTGGTTTGGGTAGTAGCACTGTCATCATTTTAATGCATAATTTTGAAGAATGTCATGTTTCAAACACTCATTTGCTGGGGAATTGATAAGACATGAAGTATTTCAAAACGTCTGTAGGGCAAGCATTGTTTATGACACAGGACAGTCTTCATTCTCTCTAGAGCTGGAAGGTTTCATTGTGTTTGCTGCTGCAGAGCAATTTGGTGCTGTGAAATTGTTCAAACAGTCAACAGAACAGACCAAGTTTATTCCTGGATCAAAACAGGAATTGTAACAAGTTAGTGGGAGTTCACATGATTGTAACAGGAGTAAAACTGACCTATCTTGTAAGTGCCTTTATGTGACAGGACACACTTTAGTGACCTAAAATTCCTTAATACCCAGAGGCTGGAGAAATGGAAGTGACAGGCATTGAAAGAACTGGATCTGTTTATTTGTTTCACTGGTCCTTCCATAATTTCTGCTGTTTGAGAAGGTGCTAGTTTTTCTCTACAACATTCTCCAGAGCACAAGACAGCAATCTTTTCCCACCTCTGCCATACTCAGGCCATAACTTACCCCAGAATTAAAAAGTTTGTCCAATTTCAGCTTCCCTCAACACATAAGCCAATGCAGTCTAGGAGCCTCCAGAGCACAATTAAATTTTACTGCAAACCAGAACTGGAGGGGCACTTAGAAACCTCAAAGCACTTTACATGGAAATAATACCTATCACAGTATTTAAGAGCATTCCTACTACTAAGTCTTCACAGAGAAGAACAGCAACTTCCCTAAAATCACAGCACAACTTGGGCAATGTCTAGACTACAAAGGTTCACCAGGATAACTACGTAAACACCACATGCAAAAAATTCAAACTCTTGGCCAACTTCAATATGTTTACAAAGCCCCACAACAAATGCCCGTGCCAAGAGAAGAGAGACCTCCTGTCAGTGCCAGCCCCGTTGTTCAGGCAGGATGGCTGGGGTACGTAGAAAAAGAGAGGACCCTTTCTCCTGGCTTATGCTGTACAAGCACCACGGCCCGTGCCAACACGGTGCAGAGGCACAGCATCTAACACAGAACTGCTTTACCCAGGAACAGAATCTCAGCCCATTTCTCTAGCAAGAAACTCGTATGGCCTAAGTCGCTGAAGTACCCAGAGCTACAAAAATATTTCTTCTTTCCCCATCTGCTCTCAAGGAGACTTGAGAAATCAGGAGTGGCCAGCAGGTCGAGGGAAGTGATTCTGCCCCTCTACTCTGCTCTCGTGAGACCCCACCTGGAATACTGTGTTCAGCTCTGGAGTCCCCAACACAAGAAGGACATAGAGCTACTGGAGCGAGTCCAGAGGAGGGCCACAAAGATGATCAGAGGGCTGGAGCACCTCTCCTATGAAGACAGGCTGAGAGAGTCGGGGCTGTTCAGCCTGGAGAAGAGAAGGCTCCGGGGTGATCTTATAGCAGCCTTCCAGTACCTAAAGGGGGCCTACAAGAAAGCTGGAGAGGGACTTTTTACAAGGGTGTGTAGTGATAGGACAAGGGGCAATGGATTTAAACTGAAAGAGGGCAGATTGAGGTTAGATATAAGAAAGAAATTCTTTACATTGAGGGTGGTGAGGTACTGGAACAGGTTGCCCATAGAAGTTGTGGATGCCCCATCCCTGGCAGCGTTCAAGGCCAGGTTGGATGAGGCTTTGGGCAACCTGGTGTAGTGGAAGGTGTCCCAGCCCATGGCAGGGGGGTTGGAACTAGATGATCTTTGAGGTCCCTTCCAACCTTAACCATTCTATGATTCTAAGTTTTGCAGAAGACATGGGAGGGATTGTGTGCAGATATGCGTATTTTGCATTCGCCCTGGAGTGTGTACAAAGAACTTGCTATGTGAAAAGATATCCATTCTTGCAATTAATTCTGAACAGAGTTTAGGGTGAGCTTGTTTGCAATCCAGCAATAAATGCCAAAAATCAATTTCAGGTCTCACAAAAGTTCTGTCTTCTGTTGCAGAGAACTGGGGCCAGTGACAAATGTATTTGCATGAGATGTCATTTTGACTTGGAAGAAGGCACCTCTGATTCAC